CAAAAGGACAACTGATATTACCAACTTTTAAAAACTGTTACGGCCAGAGGTCTTTCTTCTACACTAAAACTAAAGCATGGAATGATACAGTATTCCTCAAAACATAAAGTCCATTTCAAAACTACAGCCCTTTAAGAAGAATCTTATCTGCCATCTGCTGGACACTTTTTGTTGTGCTCATATTTAGACGTCCGATTTTGCAAATGCTGCCTTCCTGAAATTTGGTATGCTTGTTTGTCTTTGTGTCTATGGTGTATAATGATGTGATTGTGGTCCTGTATTTCTGAGTGTTTTATGTGCTGCAGAACAGGAATGTGCTGTAAAACAGTAATTATGCTGAGTCAGGCTTGATTTTTAGTAATCTTTTCCAGAACAGAAAAAAAAATCAAATCACAGTATAAATTGAATCCCTTCACGGTAACTGTATATATCGCAGTAGAATACCATCATAAAAAGCAAAGGTAATGTAATTTTTAGAACATTTATTTTACAGAAAACTGTAATCATAATCAAACCCAGCTTTTTTGCTGTAGTGCAAATGAACAAAACAGAAGTACAAAAGAATGTTTTGTATATATTGCAAAAAAAAAAAACATTTCTCAAATTTTCAACAATATCAACATAAAGTGGATGTTACAACCAGTACTTCAAGTAAAATTAGTCATTTAGACATAAAAAATTTATAAGTTGGCATAAGTTGCCTAAAATGTTAGTGTGACAGGACCTTAGGGGAATTAAGCTGCACATAGTCCTGTCATAAAACTATTTCAGAAAACTGGAATGTTAAGTGTGGTGAAGCCAAATAAATGTAATATCTGCCTGCCATACAATGAGCTTCTACCTGTTGAACTGACCCACTGCTGCTCTGCTGCGCTCTCATCTCAGTCATCAGAGCAGAACTGTTACATTAGCAAAATGGATTTATGACTGAACGAACGTCCACGTCTTTATCATCTCTGTGGGTAACGATACATAAAAAACAAGTTTTTTTTCTCTCACAACTTGGGTGTTAAAAACTACAGTTGTTAAAGCTTCGCTCTGCGAGACGTGCTGCGGGGGGGAATGACACAAAGTAACTTTTCTAAAGCGGGAGGGGAAATTTTGAGGATTTATTCTCTACACGTGTTTTAAAACGCTACATTTCTTCATTTTATTTTGAACTCCTTCTGCTCAGTTGTCTCTGCACTCACAGCCCTGCTGACACAGGTGCGATGACGTCACTGACGACAGGACGGTAGAGGGTAAATGTCTACCATAGGCAAACTTCATATTGTTTCTACCATCTATCTCAAACTACGCAGCCCTACATCAAACAGATCAAACACAAGTCAACCTATGTTTTTTTTTTTTTTTGAGTTTTAAGTTTCAAAATAAATTATTTACTGTGGTCATCTCAAAGCTGCTGCATGCTTTTAGCAAAAAAAGTATTTTGTGCCAATAAAGTTTGCACTCATTTCCTCGTCTGCAGGCCGGTCACGGTTCGGAAAAAAAAATCACAAAGTTTAAATCCAAAGAGAGTCCAAATCTTTGCTTGAATTAAGAAACCCACAGCTGGTTGGTCTGTGAAGCTGTCTGTCAGGACCACTACAGACAGTGAGGCGTGTTTGAACTTTTTTTTTTTCTACTGCAGTATAAGAAAACACCTTCATACCGCCCAAGCCTAATGTGGTACAAAGTCAGATACATAGCTGATGTTTTTGACAAACTCAAAGTGACTTCTGTCTGAATGGTTGTGGAGGTTTCATCTGACTTTTCCATCTGTGAGGTGGGGGTAAGCAGATCAAGCAAAGTATAATAATGACACTAATCTTGATTCATGCAGTTGAAATCTTGTAGCTCCACCCGTCTTCAGCTACAGAACAGAAGTCCAGTTATTTTGTCTGTCTTCTTTTAATTTTCTTTGTCCTGGAGAACTGAGAATCCACAGAAATATATAGTAATGTCAGTCTTGAACCGTATTGATACTAAAGTTACTCGATCAATATTTTAGTTATAGCACATACAGTGGTTTGCAAAAGTATTCATACCCCTTGAACTTTTCCATATTTTGTCACATTACAACCACAAACATAAATATATTTCACTGGAATTTAATGTGAAAGACCAACACTTTCACATTAAATTCCAGTGAAATATATTTATGT